CTGCTCCAGCTGCAACAGTTAATATCCCCAGTTATTTATTTGCAGAAAAGCTTATTCCTGCTCTGGTAGATCTCGTTCTACAGGCTCCAGCCATTGAAAAGTACATCATTCTTCCAGAAGTTATCCAAAGCCTTGGGAGGTATATGATACTCTATTAGCTGGTGCATAATATGTTCTAATGCAGCTATATTGCCCAGTTACCTGTCTGAAATAGTTGTGGCTGTGAGTATTTTTATACTCTAGTTTACTAGGTTTTTTTGATTTGAAAGGGGAAAGTAATCAATGTTGCATCCATTTAATTAATAGCATCTGATTTTTGATGGCTACAGAAAGAGCTAATATGTTCCTTTATATCTGTTTCTTTTGTTTGTTATAGTGGCTGAAGTAGTTATTTAAGTTTCTCAATAAAGATTCATTTTGTTAGGTCAATGACAACAAGAAGAGATAGTCCGGATGGTTCACTTTGGAGATTAGCTGTTGAAGGCTTCAATCGCATCCTTGTCGATGTTGTCAGCAAAGTAGCTGTGGTCTGTGGACCGGATTCAAAAATTAGTAAGTCTGCAAGATTGCGTATATGGAAAGAAGTTGCAGATGTCTACGAAATCTTCCTTGTGGGTTACTGTGGACGTGCTCTTCCTTCCAATTCCCTCTCGTCAGTCACACTCAAGGATGATGAGGCTCTTGAGATGACCATAGTAAACATTCTGGGTGAGGAGATTCTTAAGTCCCCAATTGATACCCCTATTGAGGTAAGCAGTCCTCTTATCTAATATATTGTTAGCTCTGGCAGGTTCCAGTGGTCTTGTGTTTTTATTTTGCTTTGCACCACTTAAATCAGTTTTACTTTTCAAATAAAGAAAGCTGTGATGCATTACTTTGAGCACTAATCCAGCATGGTTCATCTTCACCACTTTTATTCTTCTGTTTATGTTCACAGATTCTGCAACGACTTGTTTCCACCTTGGATCGCTGTGCCTCACGTACATGCTCTTTGCCTGTTGAGACCGTAGAACTCATGCCTTTGCACTGTAGTAGATTTTCCTTGAAATGCTTACAGACGTTATTTTCCCTTAGCAGGTAATAAAAGACAATTTAGTTCCAAATATGTAATAAATGCTGCAATATATTTTGTTCCATGTTACTATGATAACTTTTGTACTTTATATGGAGTTTATAAAGCCGGATTACAATCTCATTGGCAAACAGTGTACATGCAGACTTTCTGCTATAGAAAGTCCCAGTTATATTTAAAAGGTTTATGTCAAAACAGAAAAATGTCATTATGTATGGCATTCCAAGAACCTTTTGTATTTCATTCATATGGTAACAAGAACATTGTCTTTGAAATAAATTAAATGTCTTGACTAGCCTCACGAAATTGAATTCATGTTTCTATTCTCCCCATGACCATCTCCTTACCTCTATAATGAATTATAGCCTTTCATGTTGTTCTTTCATGACATCCTTTAATCATCTCTAGGCAACTACAATGTCTGTTTTATTCAAATATTCTGATCTTTTGTCAACATTCTTCTAGCTTTAACGAAGAGGCATGTAATTGGAGCTCAATGAGATCTGAGGTCAGCAAAATTGTGATCATGGTACTCATGACAAGATGTGAATGCATCTTGAATAGATTTCTAGTCGATGAAAAGTATGTAGGTAAGTATGGTTCCCTTTGTAAACAAATTGTCAAATATCAATTTGTTTTGCTTAGGTTCACTTGCTGCCCCAGAGGCTGAACTCCTGAATTTTGACTGACCTACAGGTGATCGTCCTCTACCAATAGCAAGGCTTGAAGAAGTAACTTTTGTCCTTCAGGAACTGGCTCGTCTGGTGATTCACTTAGACACTGCATCAGTTCTTCCTCTACATCCATATTTGAAAACTGGCCTATCAGAGGGGAATCCCGACAAGCAACCGCATCTACTTGTTCTTTTCCCTTCTTTCTGTGAACTAATTGTATCAAGGTGAGTAACAGTATATTCATGCAAAATTTGGTACTGCTTCAAATTACATCATTATTGGACTAGAGAGCCATTACTTGTGATCCACATTACATATCAGTTCGTAGTTCTTACTAAACCAAACACCATTCCTTCTGGATTGCAGGGAAGCTAGAGTAAGAGAGTTGGTGCAAATTTTGCTCAAACTCATTGCCAAGGAACTGACATTAGAAAAGGTTATCACAGGCTGTTGACACGCATAAGCATCTTTTTTGACAAAATTTGATACCAAGTCAGTATTAACGTGCTTGTTTATTTGAGATTCAAATCGGTTAATCCTCGATTTTTTGTATTATTGTTGTTTTTATTTTGTTACTTAGCATGTACATTTTTGTAAAAAGGCCCGTTTTGTTGAATTCAAAGTAGTAACCTCAGGATCATTTTTGTGTAATGAGGAAATGTCATATGCAAAATTTTTGTTACTTTGATTTGTATAGAAAAGGTGTAAAATTTTATTGATTTGAGTTTACAAAATCTGCTTTTATTTGGGTTATTCTCATCTTCATACAATGCGGCAGTTCCTTGGATTCCCCCAATGATCCCAAAGAAAAGAATGTGCTTCTAAAATTGTTTAGTTTCTTGGGTGTAGTTGGAGCAATCTGCAAAGTGCTAATATTATTTCTTTCAGTTGAAAAACTCAGCCTGCGATCTTCTGTCCTGAAGGAAGCCCGAGAAATGGGTGAATTGCTTCATTGCCTTGTTTATCAAATTTTTTTTGAAAGGGAACAACAGCCATCAAACGGCCATAACTATTCGAGTTCCCTTTCTGTTTCCCGAAGTCATTTTATTCATTTCAAGCAAGTGATTACAAGATTCATCAACAGAACTCAAGCAATGACATGAAATATGACATGGTGCAACTGCTATACTTCATTTGCGACTCTGGTTGAGCCTAGCAGCTGCGGCCACAGAAGCTGCCACGCCGGCCGGATGTGTAGTCAGGTTAGGTTCATTCCTCAGCTCTGCACCCGTCACTCCTGCATCTCTTCGTGTTGCTGGCTTGTCCGAAGGCAACTTTGCTGTTGCATTCTGTAAGGGAATAATCATCATCTTATGGCTTTTCTAATATGATAAACTCATAATTCTCACCACTCAGGGATTTTTCAAATTAGTTCTACTAATTACCGAGAAGATATCACCCAATTTGGTGTTGTCCTCTTCTCTAGTTGCCCTGTCATTGAGGGTGGCAGCTGACTGAGCGGCAGCTACAATGCCACGAGGCATTATGGAGGTCCAACCGGTGGCTCTTACTTCTGCAGCCTGTATTGCAGCAGCATCGCTCCACGGCTTCTTTCCTGCTGTAAGAGTGGTGGCTTCAAATGCTTCTCCAATGGTGATTGCACCGTCGCTACTACCCTGTTGAGAAGCCGAGTAGGGCCCAGAGGACAATGGAGCTGCCTGGCTATATTGTCCGACAACCTGCTGAGCACATAAAAAAAATACTTAATAATTGATATTTGAGTTTTTGTTGCCTGGATAACAAAATCGAATTTCAAACCAATGTCAAAAACTCACAATATCATACAAAATTCATATTAGAATAGCTTAAGAATAATCATAAAAGATAATTACCAAGGGATGCTACTGCTTTAATTACCTCATCACCAATGGACTCTGTGATTATTCGTTTTACAGGAAGTTGTATCTCTTTAATGGTAACACGGGCTTCGGCATGCATATCTTCGTGACCTCAAATCCAGCATTCTCATTCTGCATGGCAGCAGATTCCAATAGATGCATCTGCACAACCCTCCTGGGTGTTGCCAAGTATGGAGTTCTCCGCCGCCTGCATCATGGCTGCATCCTTAGGCGCCACCGGCTTCTCCGCAAACTCACCTTGTACAGGAAACACATCTCCATATTTGATCGGTTCTTGTGGCTTCTCTGGTTGTTGCTGGCTCATTTTCTTTAACGTTTACTTTGTATTGCGTTTTTTAGGGTTACAATTACTTACAAGAGTTTCGGAATTATTTCAGGAAGAAATGGAGATGAAATTATTTTTATTCGTGCATGAAACACGCAAAGACATGGATACGTTCGTTTCGGGATAGTGAAAACGTGGCTTAGAAATAGAGAGACAGTTCGGCTTCAACGGGCAAGTAGTGAAGTTTTGAGATTCATTTCTATTGAGATGGCAAAGACTATGAAGACAAGTGGTGTCTGTCACAAAGATAAGGACTTGTTCTAGATGGGTTGATGACTTGATGGACACCTATCTCTTCAATATAATTATAGGTTATTTTACCCTCGAATAATTTCGTTACAATTTCTTTTTTTTTATTAGAATTTTTAATGATAATATTAATATAAGAATTATTCATTACGAGTTTTAAATAACTTTATTATTGTTGATATAATTCTAGACTCGATAAAAATATGGAAAATTTGTTTGGAGGTTGAGCTGATAGGGTGTCAATTTTGTCAAAGAAAATAAAATTAGAAGCATCAAAAATAGTCTTTTAAAATACATTTTTAAATAAAAGAAAAGAACGAAGGAAAGGAGAAGAAAAAATATTTTAAAAAATTGAAAAGTTTAGAGTTGATAATGTTGCATATTTGATTTATTTTTATTTTTATATTTCATGAATGATTACGTGATTAATTAAATATGTAATTATCTGTTTTAAAATTATGTGTATGTACTGATGACTTAATAATTAAGATATTGATTTATAAAAATTATATTTTCTTAGAATGCATCAACATTGTTTACCAAAAATCTATATATACATATATATATATATTTGCTTTCAAAATTTTGAAAATTAGAGAAATTGAAAAGGAAACAAATTTAAAAGCAAATATAAAAAAGAAAATATTAACCAACGGGTTATGGAAGATTGAATTGGGCTCCATTTAAAATTCTAAAATCTAATCTTAAAGCCGGATCTCTTTCCTCAAAAGCCCAATTGAATTCCAACTGAACCCAACCTAAATTGCATTCTATAAAACCCTATCCAGCCCATTTTCTTTGAACTCCACCCTCTATCCATTACCCGAACATTTTTATTCTCAAACCCAAACACACGCTTTCTTCGTTCACTTAAATTCGTAGGGTTAGACTACAAAGCCATGAAGGTAAACGGCAACGTGGAAATCAAGATAAAAAGAAGTTTCAATGGAAACGAAGAAACTAACAGCGGAATCAACTCCCATATTCCAAGAAGGAATAGGCTTGATCCTCTCTCGATGGTCGGCTCTCACCGCAGCCGTTGAAAACGAGTGGGGCGGCCGTGACTCCCGCGTCAAAGCCAACATCCTCTGCTCCGATCTCATCTCCTTCTTCACTAAACCCAAAGGTTACCAATTTTATTTATATTTAAAAATTAAACACCATCCATTTCTTTTCTTTTCTTTTTCATTTTCAAATTTTAAGTAATTAATTTTGATTTCTCAGTGGAGCCGCTTTATATAGATGATTTGGAGAATATTCTAGAGGAAGGGTTGCTTAGTCTTAATACATTGGTTGAAGATGGTAGCATTGAGGAGGTATTTTCAATCATCGATTTTTGTTCCTGGCTTCAATTGAGCATATTAACGCCATTTCAATCTGTTTTTAGGTAGCTTAGTTGTGATAAATCTCGTAAAAATGATCAAAATTATAGCTTAATCATTATTTTAATCGAATTGATTCGCCCTAGTTTTGTTTTTCACTTGTTTTGTTACTTTAGCTCATTTTGGAATTTTTATTTATTTATTTATTTTTATTTGTATCTCTCGTGATGGTTTGACTATGTTTTACAATTATAGCTTAATCATTATTTTAATCGAATTGATTCGCCCTAGTTTTGTTTTTCACTTGTTTTGTTACTTTAGCTCATTTTGGAATTTTTATTTATTTATTTATTTTTATTTTTATCTCTCGTGATGGTTTGACTATGTTTTACGCTGGCCATCATCTTATCAAATTTGTTACTCTATCCGGGCTTAGGACCGGAAGTGTGGTAACACATGAGTGGAGTTCTTAATGGCAAAATAAGGCTTAGTTTGTTGTTGTTGTAGTTTTTTTTTTTTTTTTTGAATCAATTTAAAGTATGGATTCTCCTTTTTGGACACTTTAAATCGATGTAGAAATTTGCCACAAACACGACATACCTTCGTCCAACCCTGGATCCTGACTTCGTATAACATAGCAGTTAGTATTGGATATTTTGAAAAAGGTCTGGGTTTATGCTATTTATTGCTTGATGAGGGATAATTCTATGTCTTCGGCTCGTTATAGGTGGCAGAGAAGTTAATGATTATGCATGAAGAATGTTTGGAAGGTAATTATCAGTCCGTTGAAAAGCTGAATACAACTAATCCTCCACCAGTAGCTCATGTTAGACCGGTAATTTCTAGCGTAAACCCTTTAGTGCCTATTATAATGTTTCTTGTTATAGACAATATGCTATATACTATTGTCTCTGTTGAATTTTGCTTCTGTTTATCCATGCTTCGTTGGATTTTTGTTTTCTGTGCTTAGTATCTATGTTGGCATGTTAGGAAATTCACATTTTACAAGTCACGAAAAAGAATTCTCAGGTGGTGTAGAAACACTCGTATAGGGTGTGAGATTATTGGGTGATCTTTATGTAAGGAGATCACTATCTTTCACTATCAGTTTCATTAGTGAACTTCGGTTATTTTATTTCTTCATCCTAGGCTAGGATTTTATCTTAATTTGGAAACTTGACAGGAAATTAATAAATGGAAATAAAAGAGAAAAAACATTATCTCATACTTCTTAAGTTTTGGGTTTCCTTCAACTCTACAATGTCCAACTCCCTTCTGATGAATTTTTTTTATTGAAAAGGTACCGAAATACAAAAAGAGAAGGCAGAGTACTCCTTAAACTTGTTGCAGCTGTGAATATAAACCTTAGCTTTCTTCATTATGATGGATTGTATAATCTGAAATGGAATGGTTATACTGCCGGGCCCTCTTTCAGTGAATGAAAAATGTTCTTTGTCTTCAATAGCATGGCATCTCAAAAAGTAGTAACCCCATTTCAATGGTAGAACTATTAAAAGGGTTCTGCATACTGTTTTCTTTTACAGAAAATTTTACAGAAATCATGATCAGTTCTTGCATGGTGGATTCTTTGCTAACTAATTAAACATTAACAAGTTATTGTAGTAGATGAAGATTTAGGAGTTAAAATGGTTTCCTTTGCATTAATTCTTTTCCTACGGATCCATATTTTACCCTAGTTTACCGAGGAAGATGAGGATGAAGATGATGAAGACGAAAGCATGGATGCTAACAATGCAACAACCATGATGGTGGATGTATCAAATTCTAAAGCAAGTTCGAATACAGTCGGTATGCAAACGGATGAGCCAAAGCCAAATCAGGCAGCTGCAGCAGAAGATGGTTGGGTCGTTGTGTCATCCAGAAGAAACAAAGGTAGAAGGAATTAGGCTGTATCTTTTATTACCTCTCTGTTCCTTAATGGTATATATGTTTCTTAAGACATTTTTTGGTGTGCTAATTATTAGTGTTTGTAATGCTTTTTTTCATGTAATATCAAAAGAAATTCAGATTGGATTTTGTTTTCACCCCAATCTTCGAGCTTAGCTTCAAACCTACATAGCCCGTTTTATGTATGACCATGTTCTTTGAATTTGATCAAAGATCATTGAGTGAAAGTTAGTATGAATTTGGGACATTGATGACTACAGTGACTTAACTTTCCTGTAACTTTAACTGATCTTTCATACTGCACACAGGATCTACCATTCTCTTTCTTTGCTAGCCATTTTCCACTGAAACAATTTGGTGGTCCTAAATTTATCTGAGAATGATTCAAAAATGAAAACTTATTTCCTTCAAAAATGTCTGTTAAGGGTGGGATTTTAAATTGTTTTTATTTTTACGAAGGAGATCTGAGAATACGGAAAGATGTGTATGGCTATTGCAGCAAAGCAATTCATTGTCATAAATTTTCTAAACTCGCTGAAGAAATGAACCTCATTTTAGCCGGATATTTTGGTAAGCATTACAATCATATTTCTTGAAGGTATAATGCACTCAAGAAGTGCACCTCTTTGCCCAAGATGATTTCCATCCCGGATTAACTCCTCTCTCCTTATTATATTATTATCACCAAGATTTGGTTAATATGTAGTTCTCTTGATCAACTTCAGTGTTTCACCAACTCCTTCCTCTCACACCAGCAACTCCAACCAAAATCTCTCCAAAAATCTCTCTGATTCCGCCACCTACCTTAGCCATGATCAAACTCCTTCTCTGTTCATTCTCATTTTCCCATTTCTTCTCCCTTGTTGCATCCCAATTGGTCCCTCCTCCATACCCTGGCCGCCAAGGTGAATGGCAGCTTTTACATGAAAGTGTGGGGGTATCTGCCATGCATATGCAGCTTTTACATGACAACAAGGTAATCATCTTTGATCGCACTGATTTCGGCCCTTCTAATCTTTCCCTCCCTGGTGGTCGTTGCAGGGTTGATGGTTCTGATATGGTGCTCCAAACTGACTGCACAGCTCACTCAGTCCTCTATGATATTGACACCGATGCATTTCGTCCCTTAATGGTTCAAACTGATACTTGGTGCTCTTCTGGTGCAGTTCTCCCTAGTGGAACTCTTGTTCAAACCGGTGGCTACAATGATGGTGATCGCCATATTCGATTTTTCACTCCTTGCATCGATGAAAACTGTGATTGGATTGAATTTCCACAGGCTTTAATACAACGAAGATGGTATGCTACTAATCAAATTTTACCAGACGGTCGCATAATTATTGTTGGTGGGAGACGACAGTTCAATTATGAGTTTTATCCTCAGAATTTAGAAGGCGGATCCTCAGGTTCAACTACAACTTTTTGGCTGAACTTTTTAAGGGAGACAAACGATCATGGCATGGAGAACAATTTGTACCCATTTTTGCACCTTCTACCAGACGGAAACTTGTTCATTTTCGCGAATACGCAATCAATTTTGCTAGATTATAATCAAAACCGGGTGGTGAAACAGTTCCCTTCCATTCCTGGTGACGATCCACGTAATTATCCAAGCTCAGGATCATCAGTTTTGCTTCCTTTAGATGAAAACAAGGCCATTGAACCTGAAATCATGGTGTGCGGAGGTGCACCAAGAGGTTCATTTACGCAAGCCATGCAAGGAAATTTCATACGTGCAATATCTACATGTGGGAGGCTCAAAGTTTCCCATGCAACCCCTAGTTGGACCATGGAAGATATGCCAGTGGCACGAGTCATGGGTGACATGATACTTTTGCCTACAGGTGACGTGCTCATAATCAACGGGGCAGAATTGGGTACTGCCGGATGGGAATTAGGTCGCGGTCCGGTCACAAGACCGATCATTTACCGTCCATCCGATAACCCCCCTGATTGGCGTTTCTCAGTAATGTCACCATCTTCAAGACCAAGAATGTACCACTCATCAGCCATACTATTAACCGATGGACGAATTCTAGTTAGTGGTAGCAATCCTCACATCTATTACAACTTCACAAATGTTGAGTACCCTACTGATTTAAGCATGGAATCCTTCTCACCTTCTTATCTATCCCAAGAATATGATCCAATAAGGCCCCAAATTTTGTCCCTAGATGAGAAAATAGGGTATGGGGGTAAGTATTTTTGGCTGAGTTTTAAAGTCCATGAGTATTTAACAGCTAATGCTTTGTCTGTGAGGATTGTTGCTCCATCCTTTACAACCCATTCTTTTTCAATGAATCAAAGGATGGTATCATTGAAGATAGTTGGTGTAACTAATGTTGAACCTTCTACCTACGGTTTAACCGTCGCAGGACCCTCGACGGCCGAGATTGCTCCGCCGGGGTACTACCTGTTGTTCCTGGTGCATGCTAACATACCTAGTTATGGGATGTGGGTAAAGATAGAGTGATAGAAAGATTAGTAACTTTGCTAGGGATATATGTCATAAGCACTCATAATAAATTGAAGTTCTGGTCAATATTGATAGAAAAATGTTGGGCTTTCGAGTTTATAGGAAATGTGATGGAACTTTCATTATTGGCAAATAAACTTATTTATGGTTAAATCTGACATAATATTTTAGTATTTTAAGTTTAGATTCGATTCGATCTAATGTTTTTAGATTTTTTTTTGTTTAAATTGTTTTTATATGTAATAATAAAGTTTAAGCTCATTGAAAGCATTAATATTTAAAATTAGGAAAAAAAGTTTTTTTATATTTTTGTAAATTATTAATTTAATTAATTTCATTAATTTTAATTGAATTTATGAGTTATTTGGATTGAGATCTAATTTAATTTTGTTGAATGTAATTTAAAATTAGATTATTATTTTATATAAAAAAAATGAGCTTTATCATATTATAAGTAATAAAAAAATGAACTTTGTCCATTATAAAAAAATAAAACAAATAAAATTTATCCTGTTATGATAAAAATTAATTTTTAATTTTTAAGTCGAATCGGATCTAGACCTTAAATAGTGAAACTCAAACTTAATTTTATTTATTTATTTAATCTCATTTATTTATCTAGACTCATTTAACAAATTTAATATTCATGTTTAAACTTTCAAAATTTCAGACAAGATTTTGAGTTCGGACGAATTGCCTTATCCATGAGTAAGTTTATTGGCAAATGTATAGTAGTTAATTATTAATACAGCAACAATCAATATTTTCATCAAATTAAAAAGGTCTTTATCATTTTTATACTAGTATTGTAACCCCCGCTTTGCTTGTGATTGGTTGAGATTAATAATTTTTTTGAAGTGTATTATAAAGATGGAATTAAAAATATTTAAATGCATTATATTTGTATTTATATATCAAATAAAAAATTAAAACTTACACATATAAAGTAAATATTAAAATTTAGGGAGAGATTAAAAATTAATATTATAATTTTGTTTTATATAATGAACAAAACAAAAGTACGAAACAAATCCATATATAAAAACAGAATCACTCAAACAAAATCTAACTAAAAAAGCAAGTCTCATTTCCTCACACCCAAGACCCATTAAATCTAAAAAAAAAAAAATGGACAGCTATTATTTGTAAAAAACTTATAGAATAACAAACTCTTTGATAATCTAACCTATAAAACTATCCACGGTGTCTTCCACTTCAAAGCCCATTAAACCCAAAAAAAAATAATACATCATTGTTTGTAAGTTACTTAAATTTAATTTAAATAAAATTTAAAATTGATTCAATTATTATTGAATTGAACTTTAGTTAGAATAGTCCGATTTATCAAGTAAGTCAAATTTGAATATTTTAATATCTAATTCGAATAACTTATGAATTTATTTGAATTTTTAAATTTTAATATATTTTTATAATTTTAATTAAAATTAATATATATTTTTATATATATATCAATTTGAACTCAAGTTCAAATTTAAATACATAATCAAATTTGAAATCAAGAATAAGAATTAAACTTATTTTTATTAAATGAGTCTAATTGAATAAATTCGAGTAACTCAATTTTTATTTCGAGTTGAGTTCAAACTTAAAAATTAAAATTCGATTGAATTTAAATTGAGTTTTGAATAATAAATTTCAAATCGAACTTGAATAATATAAATTCGAATCGATTCAATTACACCTTTAAATGTAACAAATTTTATGATCTATTAATTGATAAATATTAAATTTTTAATTTTATTGATTATAAATTGATTCTCAAAAACTCTGAGTATCCAAAAATAGAGACAAACTACGCGGGGAAAACGCAATAAAAGAACAAATAAACAAAAGAATGTTGACAAAGAACATTTAAAAATAAACAGTCAATTTGTCTTTCATTCAATGAATAGAACGCTGGCAAGTGGAAAAGTCTTATTTTGTAAAGACATTTAAATGCATTATATTTGCATTTATATATCAAATAAAAAATTATAAGTTACACACATAAAAAAAAAATTATAATTTAGGGAGAGATTCACATCTCAAAATCCACTAAATCCAAAAAAATAATAATAATAACTGTCATGTGTAAAACGTTTACGGGAATCTTTTTATAAACGGTAATAGTAATATAGATTTTCCTTTACTTAAAAAAAAAAAAAAAAAAACAACTCCAATTTGGCTTAATTATTCTTGTTTCCTCGACAGAACCAGCTGTTTTCCTATTAGAGAGTTGAATGAATTTATTCTTATAACAAAAGGTTAATGAATTTTGTTTTATTCTTTATTCTTTATTAGTCACTAAAACAAAACTTCCAATAAGCTATGCCGACAAATTTCGTCAGTAAAAAAAGGTTATACTGACAATTTTTTTTTTATGATAAACATATATAAGATATTATTGAATATCGAATTTTGGTTATGAAAATTAAAAATTTAATATTTTATCAATAAATCATATGATTATTAATTATTTTATTTTTTCTCATTTAACAAATAAATATTTTTCAATTAATAATCATACACGATTATGAATCATATGCATATCTTTATATGTACTTTATTTTTTATTTTGACATTAATAATCTCAAATTAATTTAAAATCTCCAATTTTATTCAAAAAACAAAGTAAATAATAAAGAGTTTACAAATTCTTTGGCAATAAGTAATTTTAATTAATTCTCTACCATCCAATAGAAAAAATAAAATAAAATGCAATTGCATAAATTAGAAAGATTTCATTGTTTTTAAATGCCATGAATTATGCTAACTGCCAAAAAAAAAAAAAAAAAAGGGTCACATCCCAAATTTCTATTATATGATTTTTTTTTCATTTTTTTCTATTATATGATTTTTCATATATATTATACTCCTTAAAAAAGTGATTAAAAAAATTGTGATGGGTTAGATTAATTTAAATTTTCAAAATTCGCTTTAACTCGATTACTTCAATTCGCTTTAACTTACATTAATTTTCTTGATTTCGAATTTTTTTCAAAGCTATTTTATAGTTATTTAAACTCTAATTTATCATTTAATTGATTAACACATTAAATTTAATTAATTCCTTTCACTATATTTTTAAAAAAATCTTAATATTTTTACTATCTAGCTCTTGTTCTCTATTATTTTTTGAAAAAAAAAAGTAAATATAAAAAATCCTCAATCAAACAATCAAACAAGCCTTAATGAGTTAATGCCAAGTTGATAAATAGATACTTCTTCTAGTAAATTAATCTAAGGTATCATAAACCTTTAGTTATTTTGAAGAATACATACTATTAATAAAGAGACAAAGATAATGGTATCAACTTAAGCATGCATCTATTATAAAATTGAAATAAGCAACCAAATAATTAAGCTTATTTATTAATATCCTTCATTCATTATTGATTCTAATTAAGTTCAACAAGTTATACATTTATAAAGACGTATCGAAGAAGAAAATTTAAATTTATATAATTATATAATAAGAAATTATTTTATTTGTTATTAGTAAAAAAATTTTACTTTATAAACTAAATTAATAGGATGAGATATAAGACATATTAAAAATAAAAATAATTAAAATTTCTGTTATGTGTGAATTTTATAATTTTACTTGTGAAATTAAAAAATTTTACAAATGGTGAATAAAAATGAACTCTTATATCTTATAAATTCCCAAACACGGCCTTGAAAAATCTATGGACCCTACAAATGACGTGGACCCCTCAGCTCTACGTGTGAAAAGGTTATTTGAACATCGTCAATCGAAGGCGCGTACAAGGATGATTGAGTGGCAGTTTCGTAGATATTTCTTAAATTCAAGCCGTATTAATTATCCACCAAGACCATATGCCACCGCCTTAAGTTTTCCCTCCTAACTCGTTCCCTCGAGGCCCTGACCTTCCAAAGAAAAAAAACCTCAAAAAATAAAAATATACAAATAAATAAAGGTCGAGGGCACTGGGAGAAAATGCGAGAAAGTGAGAGAAAGTGAAGAAGAAAACAAAAAAAAAAGAAAAAAGGCAAAAATATGAATCACATTTTTAGGAGGTTACACATAGGAAGCAGTAACAAACCTAATCGAACTTCGACAAACGACACGTCGCTGTCTCCGTCGCCGTCATGCGCTACCGATCATCAACTCACGATGTCCGGGAATTCTCCGGCGAGTCCTTCTAGTGCGACGCCATCACCGCCGCTGACCACGACGACAGTGCCGGTATCGTCCAGCACGGGGTTGAGTACGCCATCGTCGACGGCAGCCACGAAGAATCGAGCGTCGGATTATATGTTGTCGGAGGAAGAGTTTCAGGTACAGTTAGCCCTAGCGATCAGTGCTTCTAATTCGGAGGATCCGGAGAAGGATCAGATCCGAGCGGCGAAGCTTTTGAGCTTAGGTAGTCATCATCGGATGGATTTAGGGTTAGGGAGGGATAAGGATGACGCGGCAGCCGAGGTTTTGGCCAGGCAGTATTGGGTAAGTGCTTTTTGATTTGGTTTGGTTTCTTTTGGTTTTATAATCTTTGAGGGTTGAAATTGGAATTTTGGTGAATTGAATTTGGCTGAATGAGCTTGAATTATGAGCGTTTTAGTTGGTTCTAGGGATTAATTTTTGACTGTTTGATTAGGGCAAGTTACTGTACTGAATTTTAGTGGAAAAACTTGAATTAATTGTGCTTTCACTGGAATAATGGTAGTTAATAGAAAATTATTGTTATTTTATCTGTTTTTGATCTGATCGGGAAGTTGATTGTTTTATTATTGAAAAATGAAATACATGGAAATTTAACTAAAGGGAATTGTTGTGAATAAGCTTCAATTTTGGGGTTATTTACTTGTTTTTTGGTTAGGGTTTGGATTGGTAGTGTTTAGGGCTAGTTACTATTGAGTGAGGTAAAAATGATGTACTGGATTAGTATGGAGTTTTGCTTCTCGTGAAATTGTGGTGGATAACCTGGAAATAACATATACTATTTTGGTTTTGATAGTTCTTTGGAATTTTTGGTATTGTGTAAAGTGTTTTATTTGTCTTCTTTTGCTTTGGTATTTTGACAATCAAATTGAAATTTTGGTGAATCTAATTGAAGTGAATGGGCTTGAAATAGGGTTGTTTAGCTGCTGCTAGTGATTGGTTTTTGGCT